TGGTGTCCAATTAGTTGTACGTTTAGAAATGATTCTGCATTGAGTAGTATAGTGGTTTGCTTGTTCACTGATGTGCTGAAATATTTCGTCTGTAACGAAAAGTGCATAAAACTCTTCTGCTTTTGTACAAATCCGCACTTTCTCGTTAGTTGTTTTGGCGCCGGAGGTACGCGTAAAGGGAACAATATTTGGTTGATTCCCTTTTGGATCAAACCATTCAGTTTTTTTTTTTTTTTTTTTTTTTTTTTTTTTTTTTTTTTTTTTTTTTTTTTTTTTTTTTTTTTTTTTTTTTTTTTTTTTTTTTTTTTTTTTTTTTTTTTTTTTTTTTTTTTTTTTTTTTTTTTTTTTTTTTTTTTTTTTTTTTTTTTTTTTTTTTTTTTTTTTTTTTTTTTTTTTTTTTTTTTTTTTTTTTTTTTTTTTTTTTTTTTTTTTATTAGAATAAAGACAGCTAGGCCCAGACTGGCCCATGTGCCTATCGAAAATTTACATCAGAACATCGATACACTCTATAAAATATAACATTAATAACATTAATATATTTCTTTATATTCTAAAAATTAAGCGGTCAGTCTTTTACTTATGCTAAAAATGATTGCTATAAAATGATTGTCTCAATATTAGCATACAACTATAAACTATGTCTATTATTACTACAATCACAGCTTTTATGAATTATACTTGAGATATTTAGTGACTAATGAATAATCTATTTCTATGGTTGCAAGTTGCACTCCTTGAGAAATGCAGTAATAATTTTTATCCCCGATATATTAGGCCCTTGGAGGAATGGTTCAATCCTTAGCGGCTGTTTCCATCGATGCTTGGCTAACGCCGATAGCATTTTATCTCGCTGCCTGGTTAATAACGGACAGTCCCATAAAATGTGGTTGAGATCTTGACAGGAATATCCACAATCACAATTACTGTCAGAGATAATTCTCAATCTTGCCAGTGAGGCTTTTAAATTATAATGATTTACTCTATATCTCGTAACCCAAGATGTGATATATCTAGGGAGGTCATGTCCATAGAACCCTGGTTTTTGCCTTCTTTCAAAAAAGGTATCGAAATATTTGGTCCCTTTATTCTTCGCCTCAAACAGCCATGCTTCCTCGCTGTGTCTCCACATCTCCTGTTTCAGCAGGCTGACAATATCAGAGTAAGGCAATTTCTCTTGCAGTTCTGGCATATTTTTTGTTGCTTCCTTAGCTGCAGCATCTGCTATTTCATTTCCTGGTATACCTTGATGTGAAGGCACCCACATAAAGTTAATAGGGCACATTGACTGCTGTGAAGTATTTTCTGCTAGATAGGTTTTAATTTTTCTAATGTATTGATTTGTGTTTTTTCCAAAAAACTTTCCATTAATAGCTTGTAAGGCTGATAAGGAATCTGTGCAGATTAGGTATTTCTGGGATTTATCTTGTAATGATTGCTCCACTGCCATACAAAGAGCTGCACATTCAGCTGTATATATGGAAGCCTGGTTACTTAAGCTCATTAGAAATTTGGAATTTGAAGCTGGCATGACACATGCAGCTCCTACCGCTGACGCATCTAGCATCTTGGACCCATCTGTAAAAATTAGGGTATGGTGTGGGTATCTCTCCATGATCAGCTCAGTAAACTCCAATACTGGTATAGGCGAGTCTTTGATCTTCATACCGGAACAAATGTCCATATCAATTTTGAGTAATTGAGTTTCTATTGTTGAATCATAGTGTGGTAAGGAGTCATTTATCTCCACAGACTGAATTAATGGTTTGATACTTTCCCAACTTTGAAGTATTATTCTGTTATACTTTCTGGACTTTTGTTGATTAGGCTGTCTTGTATAATAACTTAATAACTCTTCTAGCTCGTTGATTAAGGGGTTTGACATGTTTGTACACAAATTAAGAATTGTTTTACAGCCATATAATCTGGCTCTATCCACAAGCCTTGGAATTTTGGCTTCCGCCAGTACCACATTGGATGGAGTAGAGGATCTCAAGCCCAACGCTATCTTAAGAGCTGATGTCTGTATCCTTTCAAGCCGTTGAGTGAGGTGTTTAGTGAGTGGAAAATACCAACCAATACCATACTCTACTCTGGATCTGATAAGAGCCTTGTATATAGAGATAAGAGTTTGTGGGTCACAGCCCCACCAAACCCCTCTCAAATATCGAATAATGTTGCAGACACTGCTACATTGTGTTTCCAGGTACTGTATATGTTTACTGAATGTTAATTGATTATCTATATAAATACCAAGAAATTTGGTCTGAGCTTTGTTTGATATGAACACATCTCCCAAATCAATGCTAACCGAATTTGGTGGAATGGTAGGAGAAGAAAAGATCAAGATATCAGTTTTTTCTGGTGCAAGTCCCAGGCCTATGTTCAAGAGGTTCAACCTTATCGTGTCAACTGCTATTTTAATGCCTTGCATTGCTTCCTGTAAGCTTTTACCTGTGCAGAGTACTGCTATATCATCTGCGAATTGACTAATTCTTATGAAATGTGGTAACCCATCTGTGATATTGTTAACATATATGTAGGACAGTGATAACGGTCGTGCCGCGAATATACCGCGAAGTTTCGAGAATAAAAACATAAACCGCCGTCGAGCAAATTCGTTGCCGGCGAGCGTGTCGTTCCGGGTATGGGTGCGAGTGCGAGAAAGAGTGTGAGAGAGAGAGAGAGAATGAGAAACGCGTCGAACGTTAAGAAACGATCGAGGCTTCGAATAACCGAAGATTCGCGAATCGTTCAAACGCCAAAATCGAGAATGTTCGATCGTCGCGTAAATATAAGGGTGTGTCCGCGGTGCGAGAAGATAGAAGCTAAGAGCGAACAACGGGTGACGAGCGAGTGTGCGACGATTACGATCTTTATCACGGTTACGATTTACGGTTCACGATTACGGCTCACGATTTTACGAATTACGGATTTTTGGACTTTTGGACTTTTGGACTTTTTGTACTTTTGTTGTTGTGTGTGCGTGCGTGTATATTTTTGTAATTTTTCGTGTACTTTTCACCACTGTTCTATCGTGTTCTGTAATAAAGGTTTAGTTCGTGAAAATACTAATCCTACATATAAATTGTACAAGAGAGGGCTGAGAACTCCCCTCTGTGGCAATCCTTTATTTAGCAGCCTCTTATTATTAACCCCTAAACAGTGTATATCACCTACAACTTCTACTATTCTATCTCTCATCCATTTGTTTATAAAGTTGAGGATGTTTTTTGATACTCCTAAATTTAATAATTGCTGCAGAAGGTTATCAACTAAAACATTATCAAAAGCAGCTTGAACATCCAAAAATGCTGCCGCACAGTATTCCTTTTTGTTAATACTGTTCAGGACTGTTAGCACCAGTTTTCCCACATTATCCATGCATGATCTATTTTTTCTGAAACCAGACTGAGTATTATTTATTAAACCATTGTGCTCTGCCCACCATAAGAGTCTAGTGTTTATAAGCCTCTCCAAGAGTTTGCACAGACAGGAAGACAGTGTAATAGGTCGGTAGTTAGATTTGTCTTGCTTAGGGATAAAATGAATATGTGACATTTTCCACTCCTGGGGGATTTGACTAGTAGAGTATATTTCATTTAGTAAGTCCAAAAGTATCAGAT